CAGCGCTGGCCGTTGGCGAAGACCTGGATCGCGTCCGTGTTTCTGACTCTGAAGGCGATCTTGATCGACTCGGGGTCGATGAACGAGGTTCCGCTGGTTAGGAATGCGGCAGACCCCGAGGTGGCGGGGGAGAAGGAGCTCAGCGAGCTGGGGAAATACTGCACGTCGTGCCGTGCAGTCACGTAGTTGGTGTTGCTGGTATCGCTCCGGCTGTGACTACCTCCATGCTTCTTGACATGTAACGCAACACGCGTTTTCACTCGTACGGCGAAGGAGAGTCTAGGCCGCCTCGATGTCTTGGGCCAGCTGGTCGTAGCTCGGCGGAGGCAGGCGGCTCTGGCGTGACTGCCCGGAGCTGCGAGAGCTTGCCCGAGAGTTCGGCTGGGACTGAGGCAGAGTCACTGGGTTTAGGCCCAGGAGAAGGGGCGTGGCGTGTGGTTGTGCCTGGACGCGGAACGATTGCGAGGAGGCTGCCGGAAGTGCTGCTGCCGGAGCGCAGCTGAAGTGCTGGGGCTGAGTAGCGTCGTTCATGTTGTTGGCGGACCGGACGTCCTGCACGGCCGCGTCCTCACTGCCCTGCTAAGGCCGCAAAAGCGTGTTCTCCAGCACCCAGCCCGTGCCGCGCGCGTGGCCGTAGGCTGCGCCGCCTGCGAGTCCCACGGCCAACCCGGCTGCAGCCAGCGTTCCAGCAACCTCGCCCGCTGTGGGTGCGAGGGCTGCTGCTCCTTCTGCCGGCCTCCCCACGCCCTCGGTGGCAACGGCAACCTCTCCCTCCTCCGCAGCCACAGCAGCCGTCTCCTCGATGCTCTCTCTTTAGAGGGGGTTTCCCAAATGGATTCTATTCTACCTGAGAGGCTCCTGGCACTCGTCCGTCCAGCATTTGACCTCGTCCTGCGAAGGATTCGAAGTCTAAAACGCTGCGTGCAGGCGTGTGGCTGCAAAATAATGACCCCTAGATATGCTTGCAAAATGCCCAGCAGCTGCGTTTCTGCAAGGCGAGCTAAAAAAAAACAGGGAAAAAAAAGAAAGCCAAGCCAAACCAGCCAGAAAGCCAGCCAGGAGCCAAACCAAACCAGCCAGGAGCCAAACCAAACCAGCCAGAAAGCCAGCCAGGAGCCAAACCAAACCAGCCAGGAGCCAAACCAAACCAGCCAGAAAGCCAGCCAGAAGCCAAGCCAAACCAGCTAGAAAGCCAGCCAGAAGCCAAGCCAAACCAGCCAGAAAGCCAGCCAGAAAGCCAGCCAGAAGCCAAGCCAAGCCAGCCAGAAGCCAACCAAAAAAGCCAGCCAGGGTTTCCTTTGAGGGCGCTCGCCTTGCAGAAACAAAGGCAGCTGCTGGGCATTTTGCCAAACCGCATATCTAGGGGACATTATTTTGCAGCCACACGCCTGCACGCAGCGTTTTAGACTTCGAATCCTTCGCAGGACGAGGTCAAATGCTGGACGGACGAGTGCCAGGAGCCTCTCAGGTAGAATAGAATCCATTTGGGAAACCCCCTCTAAAGAGAGGGGTGCTATGTTCTGTGTTCGCGCTTTCGCGCGGCGCAGTCTGCAGCTGTCGCTGCAGTCGCTGCGCAGTTCGCGCAGTTCGCGTCTGAACTCCACGCGGAACTCCACGCGGGCAGGGCCCAAAAAATGGGACATGCCTGTTTCCAGTTCCAAGGCACTTCGAGAACACAAGTGCCACTTGTGTTGAGCATCGCCACCTGCCCGGCATCGGAGCCACACGCCAGCCCGCCGAGTCATACGGATCATACGGATCATACGGTCATACGGTGGCGGTTGGGCACTCCGGGTGCGCCACCCTGCCGCGCCACCTGCCTGGCATAGAAGCCTCCCGGCCGCCACCTGCCCGGCATAGAAGCCCGGCCGCGCCAGCTGATACGAAGCAGTGTCCGAGTATGTCGGACACTGGCTCCACACCTAGCGCACCACCCGGCCGCGCCACCTGCCCGGCATAGAAGCCAGCCTGCCGCAACTCTCGCCTGGAACGGACCCACTTCGAAAAGCACAAGTGCCACTTGTGCTTTCGAGCTGTCGAAATTTTCGACAGTTTACCGACAGTTTACCGAAAATTTCGGCCGTCGTGCGCAGGTCTCGCTTTTGACCGGCGCCATCGGTCAAATCAAATTGAGTCACATCCGAAAAAAACCCTGGTGCGGGCCTGGCGCGGGCCTGGTGCGGGCCTGGTGCGGGCCTGGTGCGGGCCTGGTGTGGGCGTGGTGCGGGCCTGGTGCGCCTTAGCCTGTGAGGGGTTGTTGTGTCAAACACACCACCCCCGAATCACGAGGATTACAAGGAAACTTCTCCGAACGGACTGAATGGTACTCAACTGCGCTCGCGGCAGGAATCGAGCCCCGTGCGGAGTAAGAAGCGCTTAGCCCCTTGGCCGACGCCTTAGCCACTGGACTAAGGCGTCGGCGAGAACATATGTAAACATGTTTGAAGGACCTGTTACCGGCAATATCCCGGAGGTCCTGGACAACGGAGAGGTGACTGACGGCACGCACGTCACCGCAGGGCAGCTGGCCCTCGCTTTGACGCCTTACGCGCAAGTAACGGACCTGGCGGTGAACACGGCAGCCTCCGGCAACAACGCGGCTGCCATCCAGTCCCTGGACGACAGAGTCACCGCAGAGCTGGCCTCAAAGCTGGACAGCAGCGCGCTGGCGCCGGCAATTGCGCCCCTCGCAACGGCGGCGGCCCTGGCCACCACGGACGGCCAGGTGGCCGCGCACGGAAGCAGCATCGCCGCGCTGCAGAGCTCGCTGACCACGGGCCTCTCCAACAAGGCAGACCAGTCGGCCTTCGACGTGCTGGAGGGCGTGGTGGCCACCAAGAGCACCCCGGACGGCGTGGACCTGAAGCTGTCCAACTACAGCACCACGGCGGCCATGAACGGCTCCATCGCCTCGGCCAACAACGCCACGCTGGCCACGGTGGCCGCCAACTACGGCCTCAAGACGGTGGTGGACCAGCACTCCCTGGACATAGCGGCGAGGATCACGCCGCTGGAGGTGGACACCAAGGTGGCCAACGCTCTCCTGGGGGCCGTCACCGCCGCGGCGCTGGCCTCCGAGCTTGCAAGCAGAGACGCCTCCATCTCGGGGCTGCAGGCCTCCAAGGCGGACGCCAGCGCCCTGACTGCTTACGCCCTGCAGTCTACCATCGACACTTCCTCAGAGGTAGACACCAAGATAGCAAATGCCCTGCTGGGTCTCGCCACCGAGGCCTTCGTCGCAGCGCAGCTTGCTAGCCGTGACGCCAGCATCACGGCGCTCCAGGGGGCCAAGGCCGACGCGCTCTCAGCCAGCGAGACCACGCTCCAGAGCGCCCTCGACGCAATCCTCGCGGAGCTCGCCGTCCTGCAGCTTTCCGGAGGCGGAGTTGTTAACGCGCCGGCCTGGGCGGGCTTCACAACTTGGGAGCTCGTTCGCGGAAGCAACGTCGTTCGCAACCTGCATCTGGAGGCTCCTCTCTCTGCTGCGCTGGCCAACGGCGACGACACGCTGCATCACGGCCGACTGCTACTCCATCGCAGTGGCGGACGCGGCCCTCGCAGCTGCGCTGCTGGCCTACTACATCTCGGCGCAAGTGGACGTGCTGCTGGGCGACGACACGCGCTGCTGGGCGACTACCGAACGGCGAGCGCCCAGGACAGGCGCCATCGCGGGTGCGCTGCGACCGGACCAGGACGTTTTCACCCCCGCCTCGGCGCTGGTGCATTGCTTGGCTGCCGACCAGGACACGGCAATGGCCTCCAGCCCTGCTCGGCTACTACACCATCGCGCAGGTGGACGGCCTCCTGACGGGCAAGCTGGGCGTGAGAGAGGGGGAGAGAAGGCGCCCGCGTCCTCCACGCGCCGGTCCGCAAGCTTCTTGTTGTACCGGAACGTGTCGGCGTTACAGCCGGAACTCGGTGGCCGGCTGCTTCTCCTCAGCGCTCCGTACACCGTCTCGTGCGGCTGGGCAAAGTAGGCCTGCTGAGCTCCCGGCCGGGAGTCAGGCTGCAGGTGACGATGTTCCAGGGGTTCACAACCAGGGTCAGCGTGTAGCCGTCGACGCTCAGAGCCGCGACGGTGCGTGGCCACGCTGCGCTGGGGCGGACCGGCCAGTTCGACAGGGAGACGTCCATGAAGCTTTGCCAGCTTTCAAGGCAGCGTCCATGCGGCAACACGCCGGCTAACGAAGCGCGGCAGGCCGCTGCGCTGAGGCAGCTGGACGACTTCCTGGGACAGCTCCCGCCCAGGACCATTGACTGAGGGCTTTGAAACGGACGCTACAAGAGTATCCTTTGTGCGGCTTAAAACGCGGTTTATTGCGTTCTCATCTGGGCCGCAAATGAACACCCAAGCCCGGCTCCACAGAAAAAAGGCAGGACTTGCGCCTTGGGCGAGCTTGGGGGGCCCTCAGGCAGAACACAGTTGCATGATTCCTGCATGAGCCTCTCATGAATCCAACATGGGTGTCTCGTGAGAGCGTGGACGCCACGTGACTGCACAATGGCACGCTCGAGTCAAACCATGTCAAGACTTTAGGGATTGGGTCGCCACAACAGCTGCCAAATTTGCCTCTTGGGATGCCCCGCCAATCATCAAGATTTCCAGCGCTCCCCCCCCCCTAACCCCCGCTACCCGTGCTACCCGTGTTCCCCCCCCCCCGCGCTACCCGGCTACCCGCGCTGCCCCCGCTATCCCCCCGCTACCCATGCTACCCATGCTACCCATGCTACCTGTGCTACCCATGCTACCTGTGCTACCCGTGCTACCTTGTAAAAATGCTGCCAGGGCCAATGTAGTTGCGCTTTGTTGAGGTGGGTAGCATGGGTGCATGGCCTCTCCCCCAGGTCTGCATCAAAATGTGAAGCTGCCAAGCTTGTCCTTTTCTATCCAGCCTGTTTCCAGCGCTGGCTGGATGAGGCATCCTGTCCTTGGCAGCGACAACAAATCTGCAAGAAAGCCCACGTGGGGGCAAAAAGCACGATGGGCTTGCCCAACTTTTCACTCGCACGATGTAGAAAACTCTCTCCTGAACAGGCCGACTGCCCAAACTACTGCTTCACTGTGGGGCATCTGCCTTTGATCACCTGCTCAAACTCCTTGTAAGTCTCTGCGGGCACGCGCTTCTTCATGATGGTGGCCACGCCCTCATCGCAAACCAATTCCTTCATCACCTCCCCGGTGAGCGGCGAGGCCCATGAGGCCTGGAGCCCATCATCCGTGGTCTCGATCTTGGCGCCGCCCACTTGAGCAAGCTCCAGCGTGTTCTTGTCGAAGGCCTCCACTGGCAGCCCAAAGGCCATCTTTGCAGCGGCCAACATGGCCTTGCCGGTCTTGGTGGCCTTCTCCTCCTTCTCCATCCCTCCTTCTGTCAGGTCCAGACTGTACTTGAGCTGCTCCTTGTGCCACTTCTTCACGCCCTCGATGCCCAGGGCTCGATTTTCATCCAAGCGGCGCAAGAGCTCGAAGGAGCCGCCCAAGGAGCGGACAATTTGGGCCACGCCCTCCTCGCCAAACTCCGCTTCGAAGCGCTCCTTGACGTGTGGCTGCATCTCCTCGGAGGTAGGCGCTGGAGAGTACCTCATGTCCGTGCGCTTTGCCACGTGCGTCATCAGCTTGAAGTACTGGGCCACACCGTACTCGCTGGCGACCAGGACCACATTGCCCCACAGAGAAAGGGCACAAAACTCGTTGAGGATGCCGCTGTGCTGCATCACCTCGTTCGCGAGAATCTGCGTCTCATCCACCACCAGAACCAGTTGCTGCGGGTGTGCCTCGAAGGCTCCACGCAGGCCCTTCCACACCGCATGGGGCTGCGGCTGTGGGAAAAACAACCACTTCATGTGCTGAAACCAGCCGTGGAAGGTGGCTGTCTGGTTTGAGATCAGGCTCCCCACCACGAACTCCTCGATCTCCTTTTTGTCGTTCTCCTCGCCCTTGTAGTCGCCGAGGCCGATGAAGAAGCCCACCTTGCCTTGATCGTGGCATTCCTTCAGCACCGCACTGGTCTTTCCAGAGGTCTGCAGTCCGCTGATCAGCGTCATCAGCTCGAAGTTCTTGCGCTCTTTCAAAGCCTGCCGGACGATCTGTGTCATGCTCTTGTTGGCCACCCAGGGCTTGGCATACGTCGGTTCCTTAAAGCGCCCAGCGGAAATGCTCCACAGGTACCATCGGGCATACCCCTCTGGGTTCCAGGAGTTGTAAAAACGTGCGCCCGTGACACCAGTGCCCACAAGAGCCAGGGGAAGCGTTGCCACCTTGTAGATGCTGGCAACCTGCTGCAGCCGCGCCCACCATGAGCTTTGAAACATGGCAGCTGACGGAAGCTTTTGGGGACTTTTTGCGGTGCTTCGCGCTATGATCAAAAAACATATCCAAAAATCGTTTTGCTTGAGGTTGAAAGGAAACTTGTCTATTGGACGAACGTCGCTGTGTGTGAGCCAACCCTTTCACACAATGCACACAATGCACAGCCAACGCATCCTATCTGAGCGCATCTTGGACACCGGTCATGCAAACAAGCCTCCCATCCTCAGGCAGCGGCTCCATCTGTTGGCGCATCTGCATCGCCTGGCAACGCGAGAACGGGGAAACGCAAGGCCAACAAGGAAGCAAGGCCAACTACAAGCTCCAACTCCAATAAGAACTCTTGTATCAAGACATGTCGGGCCTGATTCCGCTGGCCTGCTTCTCATCCACACTTTCCTCGTCATCTGAGATTGCTGCACCTGCTGGCGCCTGGACGCATCACCAGCTACCCGCAAAAAAATGAGAACTCGAAAACGACCATGCTAGCCAAGCTCCAAAAATTGCAGCTTCACAAGCCCTGGATGAGTTTATGTTCAGATAGCACGGCCCTTTCCCGCTCATCCCCAAAACAGAAACGGCCAGCAAGCTTGAAGGCGCATTCTCAGGTGCAGGTGGAGGCACCTGTCTGGACTGGGTCGTGAATCTCCATGGCCTGCAGCGCTTTCGAGCAAGGCGCTTTCACGCAGAAACTCACCACGGTCATCAAATGCCTCACCAGCACCAGCGGAAGGCCCAGGTCGAAGACGAAAGATAGCCGTGTGCATAAAGTAGAGACCTTGCTGCAGCATGCTTGAAAGACATCAAGGCAAAAAAACAAAGTAATAGACATCCAGTCAAGCAAGCACTCTGCGGGGCCATGCCACCCATGCTACCCATGCTACCCATGCTACAAATGCTACCCATGCTACCCAGCACAAAAATGCAACCACCCTCGCCCTGGATGCGTTTCTGTTCGGGGTAGCACGGGTAGCACGGGTAGCATGGGTAGCATGGGCAGCATGGGTAGCGTGGGTAGCACGGGTAGCATGGGTAGCATGGGCAGCATGGGTAGCGTGGGTAGCAGGGGTAGCAAGGGTAGCATGGGCAGCATGGGTAGCAGGGGTAGCAAGGGTAGCACGGGGTCACCCGGCCTTGCGTGCACTTCCCAAAAAACAGCAAAATTGCCCTGTGGCCTGCTCGCGCACACACACACACACACACATGCTGGCTCAAAGTTGCAAGCGGTTTGCAAGCTTCAAGAACATGCTGGTTCACAAGTAAAAATATCCCAGGCTGTTGGATGTACAAGAGCAAGAGAGCCAGCAACATCGCAACGGGTTTGCAAGCGTCAAGGACATGTTGGTTCAGCATGTGGCGCAGCACATGCACAACCATGCCCTGGAGGTCCTTGTCCGCCAAACTCTGCAGCTCCAAGACCAGCTCCGCTCGGACCATTTTGGACACTGTTTTGTTGGCGGGAACAGCGCTCTCCTCATCCGAAGAAAATGAACCATCCAAAGATCCTGAGGACTCCACCTTCTCGCTTGGCCTGGGGCTCATCAGCCTAGCGCCTCAGGAAGCTGCGACCGCACAACAAAGGTCCTGGCAACCAACCAGAATTGGCCCCCCTTCCAAAATGGCCCCGGCTACCCGTGCTACCCGTGCTACCCGCGGGATTGCGGCTGGCCCCTGCTACCCGTGCTACCCACGCTACCCCTGCTACCCATGCTACCCGTGCTACCCGTGCTACCCGTGCTACCCGTGCTACCCGTGCTACCCGCGCTACCCGAGGGATTGCGGCGGGCCTCCAAATGGCCCCATGCTACCCATGCTACCCATGCTACCCATGCTCCAGCTCAGAAATGCAACGAGGCATGCCTTGGCCGTGTTTTAAGGCTGGGTAGCATGGGTAGCATGGGTAGCAAGGGGATTTTGGAGGGTAAACTGCAGCAAGAGACAGGCCTGGTCCTCGTTGCTTGCCTTTGGCCTGGCACCAGGACACACTCAAGTTCCCTCTCCAAAAAGGCGCATGAATAAAGAATGCATGACATGCATTGACACCAAAAGCACATGAGGCAACAGACAGGCCTCGTCCCCCCTGCCTTTGGACTCATCTGCATGGCTTTCAATCGCCTTCGAGTCCCTCTCCAAAAAAATAATGCATAGCACGCTCTGACAGGCCTTCTCGTCTTCAGGCTCATCCGCCTGGTTCATGCTCGCCTGGCACCATGCTACATCCACGGAGTGACGCACAACAAAGCCGGGGTAGCATGGGTAGCATGGGTAGCGAGGTTCTGTTGGGGTGATGAAGAAGAAAAAAAACAGCAACCCACGGGCCTCGCTGTCTTCCCCATCGGATTCATCTGCATGCCCTTCGATCGCCTGGCGCTATGTGACCCACTCAAGCTCTCTCCCCAAAAGCATGAGCAACAAATGGATACGCACTGACAAGCCTGAGTCCTCTCCCCTTCCGGCATGTCAGCATCGTTTGTGTTTGCCTGACTCTCCATGACTTCTGAAAAACACTGTATTCAAGCAGGAAGACTGCGGGCCTCGCTCCCTCCTTCGTCATGAGGGTTGGCATTGTCCACCGGCATCGGCTGCACAGGATCCTTGATTTCCACAGCCTCCGGGAATGCAACATGATCTTGACTATCAAAAAAAAATGTAACAGCAGGCCTCCTTCCTCTTGACTTCGGGCTCGTTCGTTGGCACGAGCCGTACTGCAGGCCTCCTTCCTATCAACTTCGGGCTCGTTCGTCGGCACAAGCTGCACCGGTTCTGTGATTTCCATGGCCTGGCGGGAATGCAACAGGACCAGAGATCAATTTACTGAACTAATCAATCTTGCTTGAAAGGGAAAGGATCCGCCTCCAGGCGCAATAGTCGGGTCCACTCCGCGGCAGGTCTCTAGTCGCCAAAATGGCACTGCAACGGCAAGTCAATCACGCACATGAATCTCAAGATGACTCTCCGCCCGGAAAAAATGCACTGCTCAAAAAAACGTTTTCCTGCCTCGGCCCCAAAAAACCCCATGCTACCCATGCTACCCATGCTACCCGTGCTACCCGTGCTACCCAGCTCGTAAGTGCAGCGAGCCCTCACCTGGCCAACCCTGCACTGCTCAAAAAAACGTTTTCCTGTCTCGGCCCCAAGAACCCCCATGCTCCCCATGCTACCCATGCTACTCATGCCTCTGCTGGCTGTTTTGTGAGCTGGGTAGCATGGGTAGCATGGGCAGCATGGGGGTTTTTGGGGCCGAGACAAGCTAACCATGATACCCGACTCACAAAGCAGCCAGCAGAGGCTTGGGTAGCATGGGTAGCATGGGTTTTCCAGTAGTCACGGCTGACAAGCAAAAAAACATCGGCGTGTTGAAAGAGGGGTGCAAGAGGGTGCAATCACAAATCAAGCCAATTCCATGCAAAATCGAACAAACAAGAGGGGGTGCAAAAGGGGTGCAATCACAAATCAAGCCAAAAACATGCAAAATCGAACAAAAAAGAGGGGGTGCAAAAGGGGTGCAAAAAGGGTCGGGTTGGGCGAACCAGTATCAAACCAGCGGGCTGGCGTGGGCAAACCGTGCAAAACCGTGCAACACGAGCTATTAGCCTAGGGTCTATATTTATGTAGGGCCTAGGCTAATAGCATTTTGTAGCTCAAAACCGTGAAAAACCGTGCAAAAGAAGGGGGACTCTGCCCGGAGTTGTTTTTCCTGTCAGGCTGCCGTGCGTGTTGGCGACGAAGCGCGACTCCGGGGGGTCTGGCGCTGGGGGGCGGGATTTTTTTTCGGCAGTGCCGAGCGGGCACTTTAGGTAGGACGTGCCGAGCAGGCACAGTGCCGAGCAGGCACCGTAGGAGTGCCGAGCAGGCACAGCGCCGAGCAGGCACAGCGCCGAGCAGGCACAGCGCCGAGCAGGCACAGCGCCGAGCAGGCACTGTAGGGTAGGCAGTGCCGAGCGGGCACAGCGCCGAGCAGGCACAGCGCCGAGCAGGCACGTAGGATACTGGTTCGCCCAACTCCGTTTCGATACTGGTTCGCCCAACCCGTTGGTTTCCCGAGGACCCCAAACCCGGACCCAAACACGACTCAAACAATCACGGAACAGAAGTAGTCAATCAAGGGTGGCCCGGCCTGAGGGGAGGCGCCAGGACGTTGTTCGATGGTGAGGGAGACGGAGCTCGGAGTTTTTTGGGGCCCTTATAGGAACCTATAGGAACCTATAGGAATCTTATAGGAAACCCATAGGAAACCCATAGGAAACTCATAGGAAACCTGTAGGAAGCCCTCTTCTTCTTTTCCTATGGCCTTCCTATGGGTTTCCTATGGGTTTCCTATGGGTTTCCTATGGGTTTCCTATAAGATTCCTATAGGTTCCTATAGGTTCCTATAAGGGCCCAAAAAAACTCCGAGCTCCCGACACCCTTCGTCTGGTTGGGTCATGACCCGTTGGGCAGACCAGTACTTAAAAACGAACCCCCCTACCCGTTGGGCGAACCAGTACTTAAAAAAACGAAACCCCCCAGGCACGTTGGGCAGACCAGTACTTGAAAAAAAAATCCGAAACCCCTCCAGACCTGTTGGGCAGACCAGTACTTGAAAAAAAACGAAACCCTTCCAGACCCGTTGGGCAGACCAGTACTAAGCCAAAAATCCCGCGCCCTTTGGGCAGACCAGTACTTGAAAAAACGAACCCCCTTCGGGCCCGTTGGGCGAACCAGTACTTGAAAAAACCCGACCCCTATCCCCCAGACCCGTTGGGCGAAAGGGTACTTTAAAAAAACCGAAACCCCTCCAGACCCGTTGGGCGAACCAGTACTTTAAAAAAAACGAAACCCCCCAGGCACGTTGGGCAGACCAGTACTCGAAAAAAAAATCCGAAACCCCTCCAGACCTGTTGGGCAGACCAGTACTTGAAAAAAAACGAAACCCTTCCAGACCCGTTGGGCAGACCAGTACTAAGCCAAAAATGCCGCGCCCTTTGGGCAGACCAGTACTTGAAAAAACGAACCCCCTTCGGGCCCGTTGGGCGAACCAGTACTTGAAAACGAATCCGAAACCCCTCCA